ATATGTGTGTGTGTGTGTGTGGGGGGGTGTGTATATACATATTACATAAACAAAACTTTTATGTTATATGTGATTAATCACGATTTTTGACAGCACTAATATATTTTTAACAGATTATTGATTAATGATCTAATTATATATGTAAAACATACAATCAAATTATGATAAAGAAAAAAAAATATATATATATATATGCACACATACCTATATACATACACACATCACATACATTTATGTACATAACAAAAACTCTGTAAAATATCAACGTAAGATTGGTTAAAATTTTGCTGATCTAAACAAGTCAAAACGTAACCTTCATACAGGAAAACAGACAACTAAAACGTCTGAAGTGAGATAGTTAATGAGGGCCCAGGCTAAACCAGACGTCTGCTTGAATGAAAGAAAATACGCTGATTAACCAAAGAATCCCTGCGTCTGGTGAGTAATAGGAAGCTGACATGAGCTTTGGGCTGACATAGGCAGGACTGCGTAATACTGCCCTTAGGTGAATCACACAGGTAGGCATGCACAGACAGTCACATTTGGAGTGCATTCATTCAAAAGGTCACCACCACATACAGTACAAGCATGCAAATCCACCATCTGCAATAACAAACCAGAAACTCATCATCAACGTATGATTCCAACAGCATACACTAGAAATACACCATCCAGAAGAGTTTCAGATGGGCTGCACCCCGTCAGCTGGCTTTAATGTCAGTGGACACACCAGGGTGAGGACCACTTTAAAAACTTCATGAGTTCTTCTTTGATGTCTTCATCTTGAAGTTTTAGAATAACAATGACAGAGCTGCACTAAAATCCCTCATATAAAATACAACACGCACCACTGCAAGGAGGCTCTTTATGAGTCTCAGCCCACTATAAACTCTGATGGGAATCCCATGTTTGAGGTTTAGGGCATGTATGTGTGCAAGAAAGAAATATACAATAGTTCTTTCTTACGGTACATTTGTCTTTACGTATGAAATACCCTCAGGTCATGCCTTCAGCTCAGCATGTTGGTCTTGTGCATAAATTAATGTGCTCTTTCGTCATTTGGCAATTTTCCATGGTCACATGCACACTTCCTCAAATTTTTGCCAAACACTATGGATACAAAATGACATATTATGCTTTTTAAATACAGATTGGAGTCAAAGCGAATCTATTACACGAATCTGGAAGTTGTACCAATGTCTAATGGGTAGGTTAAAGACGCCAAGAAACCTCTACATGAAGCAAAAGACCTGGGTGCACCTGTGCTTAACAGGTACAGCTCAACACCAAGCGCTCGCATACGGTTAGCAGTACTGGCAGAAAAGGTGGTAGCTTCTGTACTGACCTGGATTATTGGCCTCCCTTTCCAGAACATGCAGCTCAGTGCAGTCAGCCAAGGAATGCTCCAGACAGAGCTGAAGGAAGCGTGCTTGGGTCCGACTGACCCGCTTGAGGAGAGACAGTAACGCCACTGTCTGTTCGCACTCGTTCCAACCCTTAAACCAGCCGGCGAGGACTCCCACCTGGTCACGAAACATCATGATCTGGTGGGCAGGCTCACAGTACCAAGAATTGGAAATCGGGTTCGTCGAGAGGGGGAGAGAGAAATGGCCACGACCCAATGATGTTGCTTTGCAGCTTAATGGAGACTCACCACAAAAAAAACACACTTGCTTTTGCCCTCACTTGAGGTTTGACAGAGAAAAGCCCTTTGAGATTTTATTTGCTAGTGGGTACCAACGTATTGCATCTTTGTTCTTGGGTTTTGGGAGTTAGGCTTGGTGGTAGGAAATCCCTGTTTGAAGCTTTTGATGTGGTATACGTCAGAGCTCTCCTGCCCTCTGGCCACTTCGGGCTTACACAACTTTCCTCAGCTTTCCTCCAGCATACAGTGACTGTCCAGCTTTAGTTTTGATGGCATTTTCCACAGAGAACATCTCCTTTCTGTAAAAGTAAAGAGTAGAGATTTTACAGTCCATATTTAAGAAGAAAAACATACACAAAAAGGCAAGCCCTGGTAAAAATGTAATCTTAAAGCTGGGAATTGTGTTTTGGAAGCTGCTTTATGAACCAAACTGGTCTTTTAGCTGTTCAGCCAGTTCCAAAAAAACAAAGTATGACTACCTTATGCTGGTTTGGCCAGCTGATAGTCTACTTGCTATTAGTCTACTTGCTAGTAGACTGTATAGTCCATATATTTTGAATCTCATTGCTGGTTTCCATACTCTTTGGAATCTGTTGGTTGACTCTTTCAGACTGACAATGACACGTACATAACATTTCTTCCAAGAAACACAAACAGGGTAACCATTTATAACAAGTTGGCAAATATCAATGGTTTCAGTCCATGAAACAGCTCTACTTTCCTTTCCAGAGACAAAAACAAACCTGTTTCATCCATTGGTGTTTCATTCGTAAATGAATCAGTGTTTGAGTCGTTTAAGAGAATGAATAATGTGTTCATTTCAATGCAGAGACTTCTAGTTTTCGCTCACAAGCTGACTATAGTACAAAAAATTAGCAAAAGAACAACAACAGCAACAACGAGGCATCTCGTTCACGAACGAAAGGAATAAACTAGCACATCTCATTCAGAAACAAATTAATCTTCTCAATACTGAATCTCGCATCTAGCTCAGTGAGAGCCGTCGAGTGATCGTTAAATTCTGCACGTGTCACAATTACAAAAAAAGACAGAAAAGAGGAGAAAAATGTATGATCTTTCGCAAATTAAGAATAATTCATAAATGTCGTAAAACGTAGGCCTATTCTATGGGGACAAATGTCTATATTAAAAACACCTTTCTCTGTGGATTAATGTACACTGATTAATTGTTCACCACAAGGCTATCTATGTGCGCTAACAAAGTAAATATAGCCTATTCAGTTTGTATTTAATGCAGACTCAAACAGACTATGTTAGCAAAAAACGTGTTTTGGACTAAGCGACTGTGCGTTTAATGAATCGTTTGACGATTCAATGAGTCAATCACACAAAAAGAGACTCGCTGATCGCCACCTACTGGCATAACGCCACGATCCTGCAAACAGAGAACAAATCCTTTTTAGTGATACTAAAGATTCGAGTCTGAGATTAGATGAATCAAAAGTGAAGTGTTTCTGAGGGGCTATAGTTGACACATTAGCGGGCGCGAGCGAGTTCATAAGAATGCGTAATGTTATTTAGTGAGCATCTATTAAAAGCACGCGCTGACGTTACACACAGATGAACTGTAAAAGGGAACTCCGCAAGAATAATGCAGCCTCAATATCTTTTCTGAGTCCTGTAAGATAACCTAAATTACACACTTAACTCCAAAAGCATCAGATGTGGACAAATAAAAATAAACACAGGCTTTCGGTTTCTATATTCGCGTCCATGCGGTATAGCTAGTCAAGCGAACGTCTAGTTTAGCTAATCCGAACTGAATCGCAGACTGTCCAGAACATTCCCAAAAATTGTTGCTCGACTGTCCCTACTGTAAGTCTGTACAGCCCTCGTTTTCACAACTCTTAACATCTGAAGCAATTCCCCACTCTTAAGTCAGCAGTGTGGTTGGTTACCCTGCCTAAACCCTTTATTGGGTATAATTAATGAACAATCCAAAACTTTTAATAAAATAGACGCGTTGCGATTTCCATTTTTCATACTCAAAGAGTTCCCACAGAAAGCTACTGTTGTAGCAAAAAAGCTGGGACGAGAGATGTTGCAACCCGAGTTTATACTGTAAAAGGCTTGATATACTCTAGTAAAAACCCTCAGAAGTGACTTACCTAAAGGCGCGGTTGCATTGGTGCTGGTCGCAGGACAGGACTGGACGGGACGGGGAGCGGTGCCCCTTCACTCTGGGTCAGTGTGTTTGTCCATCTTGACGAGGTTTTTCTCCCCGCAGTCAGTCGCTCTTGTTTAAGCAGCAGAGGAGAGTCTCGGCATCGCTTCCCACATGCTAATAATTAACACGGAGCATTACGTCAGGGGCTTGGCAGCACAAGGAAGCACAAAAATAGAGAATGGAGTTAGGGAGCAGATCGTATTGCTTATCCTACAGGAGACGACTGACCGGGAATCCTTTTTTTTTTTTTTTTTTTTTTTAGGGAGAAAAGAGTCCGAGAGGTGTCCGCATCAAACTGGACGATGTTACAGCAGGAGTGGAAGTTTTGTTTGAACTGTTTAGAGGGGAGGGGTAGCTAGATAAAAAGTTCTGTTTGTCGAAGTCTGAGGACGTTTGTTTTAGAATGGAATTTTGTAAATTTGACCTACTGTGACGCGCTGAATGTGGGTTACAAAGTGTCGAAAAGGGAAACTTGGACACATTCGATTCCGCCCTTGAATTCTTCAACTACAGCGAGGCTCATTGCAGTAGCGGATTCCGTCCATGAGATGGCGCTGCTCTACCACAGTGATATAGATAGATAGATAGATAGATAGATAGATAGATAGATAGATAGATAGATAGATAGATAGATAGATAGATAGATAGATAGATAGATAGATAGATAGATAGATAGATAGATAGATAGATAGATAGATAGATAGATAGATAGATAGATAGACAGACAGACAGATCAATTGGAAACTTTAGAAACATTTAAATGGTATGCTAAATATATAGAATATTATAAATAAATAATATTCTAAGAAAAGAGATATATCTTATAAATTAAATTCATATTATAATGTATAATTGATAAATATATTACAAGAAAATAAAGACAGATCTAAAACATGTTGCTGCATTACACTTACAAAAGGTTTCTTGATTTTTAACAGTTTAAAAAGATGTACTGTATTTAAAAGTTCTGCCTGTTTAGGAGAACATCACTAGAAACATTAAGGGAAACTGGATTTAAGCATACTTACATTTCACCATCAGAAAATATCTGATTCTGTTTAGATATGTAACACCGCCTATAGCCTACTGAACTTAGTATTTGGCGACATCATGCGGAGAACTGCATGTCGTGCAATTTTCATCCAAAGGAAGGCGTTCCTAGTTCAGTCTAACGATATTAGAAGAGCTGATTTTACTGTTCAACCCGACAGATTCACTGAGACAGTTATATGATAATAAAACAAAGCACATTTTGCGACACAATGCTTTGTGAATGTGCGTTAGCTCCAATCATTCATTGTATCGGGTGTCGTGTCGCAGCAGTAGTGGTTGGGTCACGTACTTCACGTAGCGGCTGATTCAATCGGAAGTGAACGTGTCTTTACGTGTTATTTACTTGAACTACGCATTACACAAACACCGTAGCGAGTGAGCAGCAGTGTGAAGAAGACCCGTTTACGCCGAACTCGGTTCAGTGACAATGACATCTTTCATTCTGTTGGCGGTTTTACTCACTAGCGTTCACGTGACGACAGCTGGATCCGCTGCTCACAGGTGCTTCTGTCAGGTGAGACGCACAATATAACATCACTGATGTTGTTTCATCGCTTTGGAAAATTTAATTAAGTATCAAATATGTGTCACTAACCTAAAAATTACAATAGTAATGGTTTATTTTATCTGAAACCATGGTACCGTATACATATGGTAGGCTAATCATCACTCAAATATAGCCTACCGTGTTATGTTCCCACTGTCATGGAACATGTACATAAGCTACTATTATATATTTTATTAATATGTTATTTTATATTTTCCGTGTTGATTTTAATTTTAGTCAAAGTAACTTTATTGTGTGTGTTGTGTGTTTTCTTTTTTATTTCAGTTTTATTTATTTTAGTTCAATGAGACATTTTGACATTGGCAACTAGCTGAAATAAAATTATTTAAATGTTGTACTTTATTTCAGTTAGTTTATTTTGTTTTAAGTAAATAATATTTTTTTAATGGTTTCAGTGATAGTGGACTATAATAATCCTGTTTTGAAATTGTGATTTAGTGGCCTAAAAAGTCATTTCTAAAAAAAATTTGTAGTTATGATCAGCTCAGATATTTCATCAACTATTAATAGCTCTTTGTGTGAAATTTCCATATCCAGTTATCCACAAATAACTTGGCTGAAAAGGTGTGGTGATATATACAGGTCCTTCTAAAAAAATTAGCATATTGTGATAAAGTTCATTATTTTCCATAATGTAATGATAAAAATTAAACTTTCATAGATTTTAGATTCATTGCACACCAACTGAAATATTTCAGGTCTTTTAATTATTTTAATACTGATGATTTTGGCATACAGCTCATGAAAACCCAAAATTCCTGTCTCAAAAAATTAGCATATCATGAAAAGGGTCTCTAAATGATCTATTAACCTAATCATCTGAATCAACTAATTAACTCTAAACACCTGCAAAAGATTCCTGAGGCTTTTAAAAACTCCCAGCCTGTTTCATTACTCAAAACCGCAAGACCTGACTGCTGTCCAGAAGGCCATCATTGACACCCTCAAGCAAGATGGTAAGACACAGAAAGAAATTTCTGAACAAATAGGCTGTTCCCAGAGTGCTGTATCAAGGCACCTCAGTGGGAAGTCTGTGGGAAGGAAAAAATTGTGGCAAAAAACGCTGCACAACGAGAAGAGGTGACCGGACCCTGAGGAAGATTGTGGAGAAGGACCGATTCCAGACCTTGGGGGACCTGCGGAAGCAGTGGACTGAGTCTGGAGTAGAAACATCCAGAGCCACCGTGCACAGGCGTGTGCAGGAAATGGGCTACAGGTGCCGCATTCCCCAGGTCAAGCCACTTTTGAACCAGAAACAGCGGCAGAAGCGCCTGACCTGGGCTACAGAGAAGCAGCACTGGACTGTTGCTCAGTTTTGCATGTCATTCGGAAATCAAGGTGCCAGAGTCTGGAGGAAGACTGGGGAGAAGGAAATGCCAAAATGCCTGAAGTCCAGTGTCAAGGACCCACAGTCAGTGATGGTCTGGGGTGCCATGTCAGCTGCTGGTGTTGGTGCACTGTGTTTTATCAAGGGCAGGGTCAATGCAGCTATAGCTATCAGGAGATTTTGGAGCACTTCATGCTTCCATCTGCTGAAAAGCTTTATGGAGATGAAGATTTCATTTTTCAGCACGACCTGGCACCTGCTCACAGTGCCAAAACCACTGGCAAATGGTTTACTGACCATGGTATTACTGTGCTCAATTGGCCTGCCAACTCTCCTGACCTGAACCCCATAGAGAATCTGTGAGATATTGTGAAGAGAAAGTTGAGAGACGCAAGACCCAACACTCTAGATGAGCTTAAGGCCGCTATCTAAGCATCCTGGCTGGGCCTCCATAACACCTCAGCAGTGCCACAGGCTGATTGCCTCCATGCCACGCCGCATTGAAGCAGTCATTTCTGCAAAAGGATTCCCGACCAAGTATTGACTATTGAGTGCATAACTGAACATAATTATTTGAAGGTTGACTTTTTTTTTTGTATTAAAAACACTTCTTTTATTGGTCGGATGAAATATGCTAATTTTTTGAGACAGGAATTTGGGGTTTTCATGAGCTGTATGCCAAAATCATCAGTATTAAAACAATAAAAGACCTGAAATATTTCAGTTGGTGTGCAATGAATCTAAAATATATGAAAGTTTAATTTTTATCATTACATTATGGAAAATAATGAACTTTATCACAATATGCTAATTTTTTTTAGAAGGACCTGTAAAGTACTATACTTTAATTTGCAACCATCACCACACCATGGTACCATCCATCACTGTACTTTTATTTGTAAACGCGTGTTCTGAGGCTGATTGTTAATATCTATTTGCGAATAAACCTGATAAACCAATTAATGTTGAAATGTGTCACTTTTGATTATGTAATGACGCAAAGACATGCTCGAATCTCCAGCGAAAATCCACCAGTACCACTGGAATTAAAAACATTATTACAGTACAAGCTTACTGGTTTGAATCGAGCTAAGGCAAGCAGATAGTTTTGAACACTGGCTGGTTGTGTATTTTCTCAAATATGTATTTTGGATAATTTTTAACCCCAAAACAAAGCTACGGACTGCAGCTTTAACTGGTTGCATTTTGGTTGTAGGTCACTGGGGATCTTGATGATTGTGCTTGTGATGTTGAGACCATCGACAGTTTCAACAACAAAGAAATCTTTCCCAAACTACAGAAACTACTATCATCTGATTATTTCCGGTTTTACCAGGTGATTTTATTGTTGACAATACATACAGTGGAAATATCTATTCATTGTTCATCTCTAATATTCAATAGTCTGCTCCTCAGGTCAATCTGAACAACCCCTGTCCGTTCTGGACAGACCACAGCCAGTGTGGACTCAAATACTGTGCTGTGAAACCGTGCACACCGGTGAGCTTTGCAAAGTTCATTCAGATGATTTTGTCTTGAGGGATTTTGTGAAATGAAAAGACTCCTTGTGTCTTTCTGAGCAGGGTGAAGTACCAGAGGGCCTTAAATCTAGCAGTTATAAGGTATTAGAAAGTCATATAAGGTAAATCATGCATATTGGTGTTGTTGGATGTTAATAATTTTTCCCTGTAGTATTCAGAAGAAGCTAGTCAGGATATAGAGAAATGTGAGAAGGTAGAGAAACTTGGAGCTGTCAACAGTTCTCTAAGGTTTGTTTAAAAAGTGTTGCGCACCTTCTGAGAGTCAAGAATACCCAAGATTTCTTAACTTTTTTACCTTGTTTGTGTGAGTTCTCACTCAGTGTTTCTCTGTGTAGTGATGAGACACTTCAGGCTCTTGAAGAGTGGAAGAAACATGATGATGAATCAGATCGTTTCTGCATGTTGGATGGTAGTTTGATAGTTTGATCAAATAATCTGTTTTTTATTTGAGGTGACTAATAATTGGCAAGCTCACATTGGGCTACAATACCCGTATGCTTTACAGCTTTAGTCATCCTCCACAGGCTACATCATTGATTTCTTTTTTCTTTTTTTCAGATGAGGACTCACCTGAATCAAAGTATGTTGATCTCCTGCTTAACCCTGAGCGTTTCACCGGCTATAAAGGACCAGAGGCCTGGCGGATCTGGAACAGCATATATGAGGAGAACTGCTTCAAGTAAAGAGTCACAGTCACATTTATTCTGATCAGTGTGCAAATTATTCAGTTGACCTTCAGGAGGTCAACTTTATAAAGGAATTACTAAAGGAAGTTTGTCTCACGCTTTAAAATAGACCTTTGAAAGAACCTTAAGCCCAAAGTATACTTCGGCCGCCCGCGTTCCACGGTGGTCCACTCCACGAAGGATCATCTGTGTGATGTAATTTTCATCATCAGGAGGGTTCGCGCACAGTCGCACCAGCGTGCAGGTCAATTTTTTTGTCTGTGGGGACAGTGCGTGTACAACAGTGTGAGTGCTTGAAAGTCCACTAGATAGAGCGCTCGTACCGAGCGTATCGTTCCGCGCTCATGGCCAAAGGCTAAACTGTGCACGAGACGGAGCGGCACGTGGAAAATGAAGTATAGGGCCTTAAGAATAGTTAGCCAACTATCTTATATTATATTGATCAGAAGTGACAGCAAAAACATTTATAATGATACAAAATATTTATTTTTCAAATAAATGCTGTTTAACTTTGTATTAATCAAAGAAAAATCCTAAACAATTATCAGAGTTTTCACAAAAATATTAAGCAGCACAACTGTTTCAACATTGATAATAATAATAATAAATGTTTCTCGAGCATCAAATCAGCATATTAGAATGGTTTCTAAAGGGTCATGTGACACTGAAGACTGGAGTAATGATGCTGACAATTCAGCTTTACCATCACAGTAATAAATTACATTTTAAAACATGATAAAATAGAAAACAGTTATTTTAAATTGTAATCATATTTCACAATATTACTGATTTTACTGTATCAAATAAATGCAACCTTGGTGAACATAAGACTTCTTTTTAAAAACATCACACACACAAAAAAAATCCCGAACTCAGACTTTTGTATGATAGTGGATACTTAATGTAATAAAAAGAATACATACTTGGTTCATACCTGCAAAACCCACCCATAATGTTCACCCTAAATCTGACTTTAATATTTTTATTGACTACTTTTGTAAATCTCAGAAGCGAAGACCAGGAGACCTGGTTGAATCTTCAGCAGGATTCTTTATTGAGAACACGAGCTGACCTGTTGGTAGCTGCAGTCATCAAGTCTCACTAAGGCAATGTACATTGTAGTTTATATAGATTTTAGGGGGCAGTGGAGACAAAGCAAATGGGTGACGACCTTAAACAAAGCATGCAAATGAAGTCATATCATCATCTTAACCTTAAATGCTAAATACAATGTACTTCACTTTTGTTTTTCTTTTGATGTTATGTCAAGACGTAGGATCAGCAGATCTTAACAGATTCTTAAATTTGTAATCCCACAGTACTCATAATGTTGTAACAACTGCCATTCTTTTTTTGTTACTTTTTCAGACCGTATTCAGTTAAGCGACCGCTGAATCCTTTGGTGTCTTACAGTGGTGAGCATTTATTGTTAATGCATTGTTTTGTGTTTTCAAATGTGTCAGTTTAAAAGCACATAGATTTTTCAGTACACACAGTAGATCAAATAGTGATGCTCAAGACCTATAATCCTCTCTCTCTCTCTCTCTTTCTGTCCACTTTAGGAGATGATGGTAAGGTCATGTTCTTCAGATACATTTAACCCAATTTGATTATCCAGATAACGACAAGTCTATTTCATTTTAAAGGTCAGGGGTTCTATCGCTGGCTGGAGGGTAAGTGGCTCTTAAAGGGAAAGTTCAGCCAAAACTGAAAATTCTATTACTCACCCTCAAGTTGTTTCAAACCTGTAACACAAAAGAAGATATTTTGAAGAATGTCGGTAACCAAACAGTTGATGGGGCCCCATTGACTTCCATAGTACTTTTTTTTCCTCCATACTATGGAAGTCAATGGGGCCCATCAAGTGTTTAGTTACAGACATTCTTCAAAATATGTTTTGTGTTCAGCAGAAGAAAAAAATTCATACAGGTTTGGAACAACTTAATGATGACAGAATTTTCATTTTTGGGTGAACTATCCCTTTAAAAGTGCTCTATCTTATATGTACTACTGTATATTTATTTATTGACATGTTCCTTATATATTCCTCTTGTTGTTTCCCCAGGCTTGTGTGTGGAGAAACGAGCTTTCTTCAGGCTGATCTCAGGACTGCATTGCAGTATAAACATACACCTGAGTGCCAGGTACCTCCTCAATGGTGAGTACTACTTTCTTTATAATTATAAAAATGTCCTGGCACTGTTTAAACTTGTCTGATTTGATTGGTCAGAAAACTGGTTCGAAATGAAGTGGGGTCACAATGTGTCCGAGTTCCAGCTGAGGTTCGACGAGGAGCTGACAGAAGGGGAGGGGCCGAAGAGGCTACGCAACCTCTACTTCCTGTACCTCATTGAGCTGCGTGCTCTGGCCAAAATTCTACCATATTTTGAACGTTCCACCTTCCATTTGTACACCGGCCAGCCGACACAAGACAACGAGAACAAGAAACTGCTTTTAGAGCTCCTCCATGTGGCTAAGTAAGAGCATTGCAGTGGTTGGATCAAAACTGTAACCAACCCATTTAGAGTGGTTATTAATATTTTTATTTAGGTAATATGTTTAAAAAAATGTATTTAACTAAAGGCTAGAATAAACTATGTGATTTTTGCCCTGATTTGAAAAGTCAGTGAAAGCCTGCAGATTTTAGGCAGTCAGTTGACCTGAAATTGTGTAGTGTATGATGGTCACTTAATAGTTTTTTTTTTAGCTTCAGACTATGATTCCATACAATCGGATGATACAAACATGTTTAAAAATTTGAGCCGATGGACCCTTTTCACATTCTCAGAAGCGGAAGTCGTCACAGTTGGGTAAACCTCTATAGCTGTGAATGGGAGCCGACAGCAAATATAGTTTTTGTATTTCCATTTGCTTCAATAGCAAAAGAAAAAATCCATAATAGAGTTTCCATGTCTTTCCAAAAGAGGGAAAACATTTCAAGAGATTGATAACAGCAGTCAGAAGAGAGAATGACGTGAAATTTGCCGTCACTCCATCAGCTGTTGTATTAGAAACGCCCTTTGTTTTTTTGTCATTTACTGAAAAAATAATTAAACACATTTACCAATACCATTATAAATGTGTATTAAATTATTTTTAAAATGAAAATATGAATAACTTTATTAGATTTGTAAAGTTAACTGGAAACTCGTCAACAGTCTGTGAAAAGGGTCCATTATTTTGTCATTTGTCAAAAATGTTATTATAAATAAAAAAGTTAATTATAAATAAACAAGTGAGTACATTTAACACTACATTATTATAGTGAGTACAATATATATATACTGTAATAATGTAACTTACAGTAATAGAAATAATTTTAGATTTATAATATACATTTTTCAGTGTATAAATTGGGTGTTTATAAAAGATTGATGCCTACGTTTTAAGATGGGGTCCCTCACACAAGGATGTTGATATTTGGGGGTCCGTGGGAATCTTCTGGTGTAGTGTATTCCAGCCGTAATATAACTAATTCTTTATTTGCAGATCCTTTCCATTGCATTTTGACGAGACTGCTCTGTTTGCTGGAAATAAGAAGGAAGCCATGAAACTAAAGGCCAGTGGCTCTTTTCCAAGTTTGCTATAACAACAATGTTCCAGAAATGTACGTTTTTAGAGAAATAATAAATAAATAGGCTCTTCCCTGACTATAGGAAGACTTCAAGCTCACCTTTAAGAACATCTCGCGTATCATGGATTGTGTCGAATGCTTTAAATGCAGACTTTGGGGCAAATTGCAGGTAAGACAACAAAGATCGTGACGGGTAATCAGATAATGTTATTTGTGTTGATATGTGAAATTCAATAAATGCCTCTCATAGACCCAGGGCCTGGGAACCGCACTGAAAATCCTGTTCTCAGAAAGGCAAATCGAGGCCATGCCCAACACAAGCAACACCAATCCATCATTTCAGCTCAGCCGGCAGGAAATTGTGTCTTTGTTCAATTCTTTTGGAAGGTAAGTCATTCAAAAGAAATGTCTATATCTATTTATGTCCAAATATTTTTAGTTGAAATGGGTCTTAATTTTGTTGTTTTTTTCAGGATCTCAACAAGTGTTAGAGAGTTGAAGAACTTCCGGTCGCTGTTGTCAAAGCTCAAACAGTGACAAAGTCCATCCAAGTTGGCAACAGTCAAGGACTTGATGTCTAATATCACATGAAATGACAGAATTATATTCTTTTGGGTTGATAAATTACCGTTTTCAGAATGATCTTTTATACCAGCTGTTGATAAATACAGTTTAACCCATAAGAACTGAGCACTTTAGTCTCAAAACTGTAATGTTAGGGCTAATTTTGCACTATTAAATGTTTTTGTATTACAAGTGACAATGTACACTTGAAACTCAATGGAAATACATAAATATACTTTAAATGGTTTACAAGAGGGACATATTTTGCCATTTTGAAAAAAAAAAGCCATTTAAAGATGTGGTTATAATTGTTGTGTAGTCATTTCTGAATATATGCCTTAGCACCTAGATTTTGTCAGCATATTGACTACATTTAAAAAAGGATCAATGTTTTATTTTGGACATTGTTATTTTTTTCATTTTGATGTTAAGTAAGCACATGTGCTTTCCTTTTATTTTGTGATGAATGTTAATGTGTCTTGGGGAGGTTTATATGCGTTTTATACATTTGCATTGATTCATTTGACACTTCAGTGCATTCAATGTGTACACTTGATCAATATTGTTCCTTGGCAATCAAATCCTTGATATTGTTAGTTCCATGATCTTCCAGATGAGCTGCAAGATGTAATGCAACTGACAAAGGTTTGACATTACATGCTATAATGGCTGAATATGCAAAGTGCTGAATCAAACATTAAATACACAGCTGGCGATCTTAGAGGTGGACCCAAGATTCATAGGCTCCTAATTTAAGCTGTTCCATGAGACTCAGTGAGATCTGACCACTACAAATTCAATTGTGGCCTGCAGTTCAGCCAAGAAACAAAAACACAATTATGTTAGACATTTATCAAGAGAAATGAATGCTAGTATTTTGAATGGAAAACACTGAGGGAAAGAAAGAAACACTTTAGATCTGGAGCTGAAAAACATGCATGCATATATACACTCCTGGGCAAAAAGAAAAGAAAAAGGGCCAAGCCAAAATGGCTGAACACCAAGTTTTTAATTGTCTTAACTACAAATTATTGGTCAGGGAATTAGCAAAATGTTAGCAAATTCACCATTTGAAAAAGGTATTGCTGCCTCAGAAAAACAAAGACAGAATTAAGTTTTTGGCAGAATATGAGAAATTGACCCGTGTTTTGAGATTAAAATGGTTAAAACCATAAAAAGCCATTTTTGGCTTGGTCCTTTTTTTTTTTTTGCCCTGGATTGTGCAATAGACACAAAACATTAATTCTTTGTAATCTTCTTTACACCAAATGACCCAGACTTCACACCAGACCTGCTTTTAAAACAGTGCAATAAAACTTTATTTTTTTATGGTAGTGCTTGTGTACATCTTTAATGAACTATGAACATGGGTAAACAAGTTACATTCATTGGCCTCAAACAAAAAAATAAAAGGCTTTACTTGCTCTTTAGCTAGATTCAAGAGTTGATAAGACAGATTTCACAGTAACATTTTACAGACCAGACTCACATTTATAAATTAATAAAAAATAAAAACAAACCTACAACTCATACACGTCCCCATCCTTTCTGTGGTTTGTCAGGAAATGAACCCAATCAGCATTCAATTTGAACGCACAACCTTTCCGTCAATTAACGCTCATGTTCGCTAATATGTGAAAAGCTTTGCTACACATCAGCTGGCAGAAAGCAAGGAAGCAGGCCAACTTAAAATGTCCAAATCAATGAAAATCATTCACTTGTTTAGTACAGCATACACAAAATCCTGCAAGACGCAATTTAAAATAACACATTTTAAAAATAAATCCAATAGAGCAGGTGCGAATGACGTTTCAACCATACAGCTGCCCATTCATCATATTTACACCACATCTGATGATTGCTTCAGCCAAATGATTGTTGATATCTTATACACAGCTCATAACATACGGAGCAGCAAATTAGGGGATACAAAAATAAGCTTCATTTTTTTTTTTTTTTTTTTTGCTAAAACACAAAACAATTACATTTCAGGGAAATGGAAAGGGCCGCTTCATCTAAGCTGGAAATGGGGCACTGATTGCTTGCCAATCACGCTCCTGAAATACAATTATACAGGAATGATGATATAAAGCTTATGAAACATGTTCAATACAAATGTCAAATTTGTGCAACAAGTTTTCATCTAGGAAAACCATACGACGGCACCATTTCTGGCTTCCCTGGAGAATGATATACTAGATTTTGACTACTGATATACACGGGTAAATTCACCCACAAGCCCTCAGAGTGTTCTTCTGAAGCCAAGTACCAAAATATTAGAGGATGTAAGTAGAGTTAGTCACACTTGGTACATTTGAATACACCAGAGCTCAATCGTCGTTCCAGGGATTGTGGGAATCAGGTGTCTTTTTGTCTTTGGGAAGCATGGAAATCTACTACCATAGAGGCTCAGGGGTGAAGCCTGGATTTAAGCGCGGGTTCTTTGGCAACAGAATAAAAACGTTAAAGGAAATCAAGAAAGAGACACGTGGATTTCGTGAATGACAGTGCACGTTTGGTCCTAGTACCAACAGACCCAATCCTCTTTTACTTGCATGTCTCGGATGGACTAGGGGGTCATGATGTTTCTCAAAGATGAAGAAATATAAAAAGTATACTCCCCAAAAATCCTCACCACCATCACATTCTGGCCTACACCTATTCCAACTGATCCAAATATGAAATGTAGGCCCACAGTAAGTGCAAAAAAGTACATCCCAACTCACAGAGGGGAGTCCATGTGCTGAAGTCTCCTAAGAGTTAATTGCGACAACATTCTGAACCCAAGGAAAGGTGATGGGATGAATGGTTTTCGGGAATGAGAACATCGAAGAAAGAGGAAAATCTGGTCCATTTGGTCCAAATAAAGCCCCCCCCCCCCCCACCTTTGAATTGTCCCTTTAAATTTTCCGCCACATGGATGTGAGCAGATAAATTGACTGAGGGGGAAGACAACCATAAACCACTGCTCAGTGATGTCCCGGCTGAGCCAAACCTCACACTAGATCGATCCCACATTAGTTCTGAGGGGTGGTGTAGTGTGTCTGAGAGGTTGAGTAGTAGTTTTGAGGGGTGGAATAGTAATTGTGGTGTTGGTTGGTCTGATTGTTGCCATAGGCAAAGAGAAGAGGGGCGGTTGATGTTTGGGGGCCGTTCAGCAGGTGAGGGATCGGCGTAAGGCTGCCATTCCTCTGGATAGAGCCGTACCAACTTGGGCCCGTCTGTGACGTGGACGACAGGATACTGCTGCAAAACAGAACCTTAAGACGTAAGGCCCGTTCACACTAAGGATGATAACTATAACAATAGAGATATCGTTGAAAAAATATAAAAGAATAGCAGAGTCCACACACCACAACTATAATGAAGACATCCCAGATAAACAATATTGTTGAAATCACTTGCAGAACGCTTTTTTCCCAGCTTATGAACAGCCAATCAGAATCCACCCTTTTTTAAAGAGCTCAAATTGCAGCGCGCGCTCAGAATAAACGGAAAAATATCGTCTGCTGGTGTGGACGCTAATATAGTTATCTTTATAGTTATCAATCTTGGTGCCAACGGGCAGTTAGATGCTAGGCGGCGCTATTGCACATCTTCTGAAAGAGTAAAGAATCTCCAGATCAATATACGTGTGAGGAAGATGCAGAAACAAGCGATATCACATGTAATCATATGCATATTTAAAATAACACAATCATCAACATTAAAAAGCATATAAATCAAAACTGCCTAATGAAATATCGACCCAGAACGAGCTATAACTGTGCAAGCTTTGGTGTTGATAAGACTCAGTTTACTCCATCTATGTTTTGATCGTCGTTCTGAATTCGATCCAGACGAAGTCTTTGACAAAAACGTAATTTTTTCAGCTTTTTTGCTCAAAATGTTGCTTTTTTAAACGTACCAACATACAAGTGTTAATAAAAAAAAAAAATGCATTAAGCTAAAATAAAACTTTTTGTTGTCATTTAAAAGCAGAAGGTCTGTTTCTTTTCATTTCTTTTGATTTATTGCATGTTCAGATATTCATACAGTAAAATATTCTGGGGGCCATGAAATTTTTGTGAAAATGATCAAAAACGCTGGCGGTGGCATCGTGGCTGGCATCTTTTTTTCAAAAACGCTGGTGGGGAAAGAGTTAAAGGAATAGTTCACTAAAAACAGAGAGTCATACAGTTTTAGAAAAAAAGGTGAAGGTGCGTCGGGGCCCCAAGACTGAAACTAAAATGGTCGCAAATGCAACAAAAAATAAACATTTGCGAGTCATCATTGCTGTTCGCAAACAAATGACTGAACTGGTTCGGCTACACTTTATTTTAAGGTGTCCTTGTTACAGTGTAATTATTCATTTAAGTACTGAGTAATATTAATTAACTACATGTACTTACTATAGGGTTATGGTTAGGATTAGGGTTAGCTGCATGTAACTATTATTACTAATAGTAACTACATGCAACATTTAACAAGAACACTAAAATAAAGTATTTCCACTGGTTCCTTTTAATAAGTTATTCATGAAACAGCCTTGAACTTGCTCATGAGTAAGAGGTTCAAAAGTTTGGGGTCAGTAAAAATTATTAGTATTAATTTTTAGAAATTAACACTTTTATTTAGCAAGGACAAGGAGGCATTCAATTGTGACAGTAAAGTTATATTAAATAAACACTGTTCTTTCTATTAAATCAAAGAATTCTGGAAAAAAATGCATCGTGATTTCCACAAATAATATTAAGCAGCACAACTGTTTTGAACTGATAATAATAATAAATATTTCTTGAGCACCAAATTGGCATATTTGACACTGTAATTGTTGCTGATAACCAAGCTTTGCCATCACAGGAATAAATTACATTTTAAAATATATTAACATCCTGTACAAAACAGTTATTTTAAATTGTAATATTTCACAATATAAGTGTTTTACTGTATTTTTGATCATATAAATACAGCCTTGGTGAGCATAGAGACTTCTTTAAAATATATTCTTTAAAACCAACCCCAAACTTTAAACGGCAGTGTATATCAGATTAAAAAATACTTTAGGTCTGTGAGACTTGCATTAATCTATCATACTTACCACTTGTTATTAAAAGCTATATAAGACATTTTCAATGCACTTAGTAAAGCACTTCTGAACAACAATGTTTATTGAGAAATTCTGTAAACTCACTGTCAAAAAAAAAAAGAACAAGTAATTTGGTTTATAAAGGTTTCATTTCAGGGGCCGATGGCTTCCCGTACTGTGTAAATAATTTTTAGATGAACCTTCCTTTAATAACGTCATAACTCTTAACTGCAAGTAACTATAACACTCCTATCTTTTTAAAAGATATAATTTGACTAAACACACCTGCATCTCTCTCCTCGGGAAGTTGTGTTTCTAGACAGATCATCGTCACTATCATAGCGCCGTGGGTTGTCAAAGAAATACGCCCTGGAACTAAAGCTGTGACTGTTGATCATGCCGCCCGGTGTCTGTGGAAACAATGTATACAAAATATAAATAAAACCATATGATCAGCATCAATGCAGCATGTGATGTTGTTTTCAGTGGGGCAGACGTATGAGTAATTAATTCTATCTGACAGGAAAACAGCTCTCCATTGGGGCTTAAAAAGCCAATCTCAGGCTCTCGTCATTGAGTAAGTGTCCAGCTGTGATATTGACAGACGGATTTAGAAGTGAGACAGGATTAGACTTTCACCAGGTTCTGATTGGGCCGCTGCACTCTGAAGAACAACACCATCAGACTGGTGGGCAGAAACTCCCAGAAGAACAGGATGATCCCAAAGACCACATAGGCTTCCCCATTGATCTTCTCTGCATCGGCCTGGAGACAAACACAATGCAAGACCAATTTAAACACTGAGAACCATATTGATGTATTGATACACTGTAAAGGCCAATAGACCTTAGTCAGAGTTGACACTGGGGTTGTTATTGCTAGCTAAAATTAAATGTTTTCCTACACTGGAATTAAGAAATAAAATCTAAATATTAGATGGAAAAATTCCTAAATGAAAATTAAAAATGTTGGCTTGACAACTAACGTAAATAAAATAAGTTTAAGTTGAAATTCAATAATAACTCAAAAAAATTAAAATAAAATTTGCTAAAACTAAAACTAGACAAATTAAAACCGAAAATATATGTGCAAATGTACATTTGGGAACGCAACATGCACCAACCATCTTCCCAAACTTGTAATGACAAGTGTCAACAAAAAAAAAAAAAGCTTTAAGGGCTTTCTGTGGTGTTGTGTCAAAATAAAAGCTCAAAGTTTTACTGTTTGAAAACGTAGAAATGAAGAAAGCCATACATTTTAGCACTGTAATTTTACATTTGTACTCAAAATAAATGATTAGTATTATTTTATTTTTCTTAAATACTTGAGTTTTATTTTACAGTGAAATCTAATGACAGTAAAACTTGTTTTGTTTAATATTTTTATTTAGTAATACTAACAATCATAAAAAGTAATCATAATTATGCAGCTTTATGATTATAAAATAATTATTATTATCAAAATCTTTGGCCATATTGTGCTGTCAAACAAGCACAGCATTTTAAATCTGAATCGTATTTTTTAATCAGAAAAAAATCCCCAAAAAGCATGCCAACCTACAAGAGAGTGCCCATGCACATACTCCACTACCATTTAAAATGACAACAACACGGCACAGCTAGTGGCCTACAAAAAACAAAACCATAAACATCATGGATACAAATATCAGAAAAAAGACAACACAGGACAAAGCAGGATATATGCAATCCCAGAATTAGATGCCAAGCATCAAAACGGCGAAAAACAAATCCTGACAACAGCTTTGCATGGGACAGACAGTGGCTTTATGAAGAATAAGCAAGCAGACAGCCACCCAAACACATGCAGCTGAGTCAGAGAAGGGGAACCTCGGCCTCCAGTCGGCCCGTCTCAGAGGTGAACCCAAACTAGGTCACCACCAGGCAGCAGTCCTTTCTGCACAGCAGCCTTGCCCGGGCTATTTATAGCAAAACAAAGACCTTTCCCCCACAGAGCCCATATCCGTCTAAATCCCCTCAAATGGATTGTTTCTGCAGTGCACAAAGAAGCATAATCCACGTTGAATTACTGTATTTTGAATGAATGAAGACAACATCTCTTTTTATAAAACACCAAAACTGCATTTGTAAATATGCAACAAAAAGCATTATCTCCAATTCATTACACAGCATGTATTATTCTCCAAAATACTTCAAATCTACCACACGCACAACAGAATGACTTGAACCCTTGAAGGACACAGTACTAAATCAGGGCACACAAGAATTAGCAACTATGGCAGACATAAATGCATAATAAATCTCATATTAAGGTGAAAACAACATTGATTATTAACTCAAACAGCTGTGCCACACTAGCAGCAGCGAGCTCTCTGAGACTTGTTTATCTGGGACAGTTAAAGTTCAATGAGGGTTTATCAGTGATATGATTTATACATACACTCCCGTTCAAAAGTTTGGGGTCGGTAAGGTTTCTTAATGTTTTTGAAAGAATCTTTTAAGCTCACCAACAGGCTGGATTTATTAGATCAAAAATACAGTAAAAACAGTCATTTTGTGAAATATTAGGGGTGTAACAATATATCGTGTCACAATATATCGCAATACAAAAATGCAACAATATGTATCGTGGATGGTGACAATATGTATTGTGTATATTTCACCTGAAATAAAAAATACTGTGTGAGAAAAATTTCATCTCAGTACTACATGAAACTACTAAATATAATGTATAATAATGCAATGGGGGGAATATTTGTGGGTCCTGGTAATGCCAAATGTCTTATGTTACCAGTAAAAACTACATTATTTTATATCTAGTCTGTGAAAGAGTTGATTCTGATACATTTTGATTCTGGTCTCATTGTCTTGTGCATTAGGTTTCAGCACCAAGTCCAAGCCTATTCATTTACACCCACAATATGATATCAAATTAAGGATTTTAATAAACAGTAAATGTTTTGTTAACCTTTAATCATATGTCTTGGAGTATCGCAATAATATCGTATCGTGATATGTATTGAATCGTGACATGAGGGTATCGTTACACCCCTATGAAATATTATTACAATTTAAAAGAGATGTTTAATGCATTTAAAAATGTAATTTATTCCTGTGATGGCAGTCTTCAGTGTCACATGATCCTTCAGAAGAAACATTTCTTATTATCAGTGTTGTAAACAGTTGTGCTGCTTAATATTTCTGTGGAAACTTTTTTTTTTAGATTCTTAGAATATATAGTTATTTTTAACTTTCTAATCATCTAACAATAAATGCCTTTATTGATCGATCTATCTATCTATCTATCTATCTATCTATCTATCTATCTATCTATCTATCTATCTATCTATCTATCTATAATTATACTATAATTGAGTTTATTTCCCCCCCTCATTCTTACCCTTGGAATTAACAATAATAATATAGAGTTATGTTGAATGTACCTGGTCAGATACATTGTACCAGCCGTAATTGAACGGGCTGGGCCGATCTTCAGGAGAAAGAGCTACCACAACCAGGTTATAACAGGCTCTGGAAGTGTAGAGGAGTATAACTGCTGCCCCGATGGCTGTGGCCTGGCATACCGATGTCCCCTAGATCGCAATCACAAAAATCACCGCATTTAGACAGAACCGTAATTACTTTTTCAACACCGTTCGTAAGCAATCAGCTGTTATTGCGCTGTCATACTGAAAACACTGCACTGTTGTTCTGAACCCCAATCGCATACTTCTAGGTATAAGGACGTTCTAACAACATGTTTTAAGTATGAAGCAAACCATTATCCAAATACAAAAACATGCTTGATATAAATCTCAAAATCCAACAGCATCCCTTGTTCACTTACCTTTGATTCCAGGTAGACATTTGCAGAAGACATTTTAGCGATCTTAAAGATGCATATGGCGAGTGAGATGGCACAGAGAACGAAGAGGCTGTCGTTAACCAGCACTCGTGCCAGAACGGCATCCTTCACCTGACTCTCAGCCGCATCACCCTGAACCAGCATGGCACACGTCATGTTCACCACCAAGAAAAAAACACCGGCCAGCAGAAAACCTAGACACAGGGGCACCCTATTGAGAGTGGAGAGAAAAAGTATTTTACAGAAAGAAAGAACTAAATAAACATGTCTTGAACAACCTAAATATCTACATTTTGTTATTAGATTTAAATGATTTCATTTTAACCCATACCGTCACACGCATTGGACACGATTCATCAGTGCACTTTATTCTAAAGAATGTATTTTTTCATTTTTGATAATCTAATCAAAATGTAATGTACTTCTTTCATCTTTTTTTGGTTACATGGAAAAATTATATTAGTAATAATTCAATTCACCCTCTTATGTGGAATAAAATCAAGCCTCGTCCTTTCATTCTTCATGCTCAATATTTTGCTTCACTCAAAAACACAGCATATTGAAAAAAGTCAATACAAGGCGAAAGCTCAAAGACATTAAGTGATGAGCGCAGTCAAGCCGTTGCTTAGCTCAGTCTGGGCCATGTGTCAATCCTCTCCTCCACCACATGCCTCTGGGATGGGACAAGGTGGGAGGATTTGATCTCCAAGCTTTTCACTCAGCATCAGACTCGAATCACCTGATCAAAGCCCCATTTGTACAGATCAGATTAATGCTCCAAAAGAAAAAAAGAAAAAACGAAAGTCTGTTTAAAGTTGGATCAAACTTCTTTAAAGTCTTTTGATATTTTCAACCAAAGAAAAAAGGCTAGTTCTAAATCCTTCTAATTTCACCCCAAAAAAATAAATTTTCACTCTGATGTTGCTCCAAAGCTGTGTGATTTCTTTTCTTGTGTGGAAGATGAGTAAATAAGTAGTGGGGCTGTCAAACAAAACAGAAAAAGGCTAGATAAAAGTGCCATCAAATATTTTATTCTTTGCTTTATTCCAAAACATCTGAAGCCATATGATTAGAATCAGTGTTAAAGAAACACTTCACCATTAACCTGTTTGTTGAAATTAAAAGTGACAGTAAAAACATTTAGGCAACACTTTACAAATGTCTCATTTGTTAGCATTAAATGCTAATATATATATTTTATCTGACAACTGTTACATCTGTCATATTTGATATATTTTACATCAATTACTAACCTTTGTTAATGTTGTTAATGTTCATGTTAATTCACAGTGCATTAACTAATGTAAACCGATACAATTTTTGAACTTAATGTATTAGTAAATGTTGAGATTAACATTAACTAAAATTAATAAAGGCTGTGGAAGTATTGCTCACTGTTAACTAGTGTAGTTAACTAATGTTAAATGTATTAAACCTTATTGTAAAGCGTTACCGACATGTATAATATTACAAAAGATTTCTATTACCAAAAAAAATGCTTTTTAAAAAAAAAAAAATGTCTGTGTTTTGTGATCAGTGACTCAAATTTCGGCTATAACTTTCATGGTGCTTTGGTATTTGAAGCTTGACAGGCTCAGTATTCCTTCATTGTATGGAAAATATCAATATGAACATTCTGCTAATGTTCCACAGAAGAAATCATACAGGTTTGAAATGGGTGAGTACATTTTTTTTTAAACTATCTCTTTAAATTAATGTAGTGTATAGACAACAGTTTGCCAATAGAGTGGTGCAGGGCAATATGTTTGTAGGCCAAAACCCGGAAACGAGTTATCATTTTAGCAAGTCTGGTTCCATTATCTCCGTTCCAATTTTTTGAATGGGTTTTTGGATAAATGCCTGAAATAAGGTCTGTGGTTATCACAAGTTCAAGATGTTTTATTCTACGACATAAAATGCATCAGTAATACACTAAATGGCTAAATGGGACTACAGAGGTTGTCAGGGACATTAAACATCATCAGCCGAACAGGTAAATTCATCTACTTTGACTTTTATAAGGTTTATAATCACACTCTTGCAAACAATTCTAATTTAAACTTTCAGGGAAAATGTTTTTAAACAAAGACTAAAAGAGTTGTCAAAGGCTTAATGATGATGCTGAAGTCGAGTGACCGCGGTGTAGTTCGTTTATAGCCTACCTTTAGCTTTTGACTTTGGCCGATTGTATTTAGGCTTCAAAATTCATAAAAGTTTTGTTCATTTGTGAAGATTATCATGATGAATAAAATGAATAAGAATCATAGGGCAAATTAGCATGGGAGCGCTAATCCAAAATAGCGCCGATGGGAGTGGAAAGTTCTGCGCGTGATCTACTGACAACTGGTTTCAGACATGCTTTTTTTTAGCATTAAATAATGGTGCAAATACCAGTAAACTGACTAGTGCAAACCTTAGTAAACTACCTTGTGTGATTCATTTAAATACTGTCCTCACATAACTCTTACAAATGCATATGCAATAAGATCAGCTGCAAAAATAACCCGGTTCACACCTTTTCAGCGCTAATTTTTCACTCCACGTCTAGAAAATCCTGACGGTGCTTTTTTAACGCCAAAAGAGGGTTTGTGCTGGCGCAAGCTGTGAGTAAATCTGGCCCACCAACTTTTGTTAGTCACAGAGCTTATTTCTGCAATAATCCAAAAGCCAATGGAAAAATCCTATTGGGTTTTTGTCGAGGCAACCAGAGTGATGCTAACTTCCGGGTTGGCCTAGAAATATTACGTAACTCCTAATTCCTATACTAAACAGCAATATAATATAATAACAAAAAACCTGAGTGAAAGTTGTGCAAGATTTCAGGGGTGACAACAGTTTAAAGCACTTGAAAATGTAAAGAAAGAGCATATTGTTCATACGGGTGCTTTCTCACTAAGCAACCAATTCATTCACAGCACTTACAGCTAAGAAAGAAAGTCTCTTACTTGTACTTGTTGAGTTCTGGGGAATACTTCGCTTTGGCTTTGAAAATCACCTGTGGAAGAGGACATAGTAAGATTTTATTACTTACAAACATGACCAGGACAAACTCTAGCTTAGATCTTTGGTTATTTGAGAAGAGGTATTATCAGTACAAAACTTGCTTTCACCAAGAAACTTCTGCTATCTGTACTTCAAGCCTGCTCACAGGCCAAGTGATGACTAGCTTGTGCTAAAGCAAAGATAAGGGTGACCAGGCTGTATCTCATTCTCTGAGTTGATTTCATCTGAAACATCTGGTTAAGCAAACATCCTCATAGCTCAATAACCACTGAAAGTTATTGGTTTTATCTAAGGTCTTTGCAACTCTAACCCTAATTTCAACCCAAGGCAAGCACAACTAGGCTTGCACCACCGTCATTGATAAGTGTTCACGGACAGTTTTCACTCTGACTTGGCCTTCATGTATTTCACACAAAGAGTGAACTACATGAAGGCCATTAGGAAGTGATGTTTTAGCAAGTGATCCATTAGCAAGTGATGTACTGTAGCACCATATACACTACCGTTCGAGAGGTCAGTAAGTAAAAAAAAAAGAGGAAATTAATACTTTTATTCAGCAAAGATGCATTAAATTGATCGAAAGTGACAGTAAACACATTTGTTGAGTAAGAGTCTTCATTCAAAAACATTTAGATAATTACCGACCCCAAACTTTCGACCGATAGTGTATGAAGTTGAGCACGCGCATGGCCGCATACTTCAAAGTAATGATTGGCCGTTGAAGGCTTTCTTTAAGCTTTGTCATATTAAATTCTGTACATTATAAACCACAGCAGTAGTCGGCAGCTGGAACAGGAACAGGAAATGACCTCACCAGTAGCTTTCTGCACCTGCTCATTTGAAAGGTTATTGGGTCTGGGTTTCATGTGAAAGTTAGATTTCAAATGAGATGAAAAAGGATCCATTATACATTATTAAAATCCCTTCATTGCTTATGATCAACTCTAAAGAACATTTAGAAAGTGAAAAAGCAATCTGCACATCATTCTGCAAAATCTAATCCTTCAGTTTTTTCCCTGTTTTGACAATTCACGACACCATCCAAAAACAACCGTGGCAGCGGTGGCACCCTATGTAGTCGACTAGTTGACTAAACTACTGCTGCTAGTCAGCACTCCAAAGATTTAAATATAGAGCTGTACGATTCTGAATGAATTGAGAAATCACGTTTTTTTTTTTTTTTTTTTACATAGAGATCACGATACTCCCACTATTCCGAACAGACAACATAAAATAAATGTATATTTTTACGAGAGGTTCTGACAAAATGTTAATTGCTGCAGTCTATTTGAAAATATTGAATTAATTTGAATTTATTCATTTTAAATCCATTTGAACGAATGATTCAATGACTCATTCATAAAGACTTCACTTGTTTAAAGCTGCAGTCCGTAGCTTTTTTAAGTTAAAAATAATCCAAAATAATTATATTAAAAAAAACTTATTCTGCCAGTGGTCAAAACTATCTGCTTGCCATAGATAGATTCAAAACGGTTAGCTTGTAATAATGATTTTAATTCCAGTGGTACTGGTGGGTTTCCGCGGGAAATTCGAGCATGTCTTTGCGTCATTACGTCACACCCGTACACATAAAGAAGGAGTTTCGGCTAGCCGGCTATACTGCGCGTGACGAGATGTTTAGATGTATAGGCTTTTCTCGCAGTACTTTACATGATTAAACTTATGGCATCCAGAAAGATCCAAACAACAATCATCAGTGTCAACTGGAGATTCAGCAGTTATAAAACCCAAAAGACTTCGTACTTCGGATTTAAGGTGGCTAGAGAAAGAGAAAGAAACCGTCTCATGCGAACACAAGGATTTAAACATCGGCGGGGCTTTTGAAAAGTGCGTGAACTCCGTGTTTTGAAGGGGTTCAAAACGGAAGAAGAGACGGCTTTTTTCTGCTGAACAAGTAAGACATTTCAATAGTTCAATCGTGTAACAGGACGTTTTCTTAATTCACACACTTATGGAGTTTCCTTTGTTGTGCCTTTCTCGTTTTGCTATTATGGAGAATATGAATTCTGAACTACACAGGTAACCATAAAACACATTAGATTTAACATTAGTCACGCAATGCTGATGTGATGTTGTTAACATGAACAATTTGAGAACAAAGTAGGCTATAATTTGCACGGTTGCTGTAAATCGCGTTGATTAAATCTAACGAAGCTTATCATGTCGAATGCTTTTTCCCCCTTAGTTGGTCAGAACAAAAATGGATGTTACTTACTTGTTCAGAAGACATTTTCTTATGAAAATTCTTATGTTGGTCAAACTTTCAAAAAGTGAATCTGTGATTCTGTATGACAGTATCCACACAGCGCGGTGACTGACAGCACCACTCGCCTCAAAACACTGTGTTCATCCGCGCCGTTTCATGCCGATTTACAACCCACGTAAAGATGATAATTCCGCGAATCACTGCAGTTATAGATTTCTAACAGAGAGATGGCGACAAAGAGGAAAAGCTACGGACTGCAGCTTTAATCTGGATGAATCAATGGTTTTGATTGCATCTCTTGAATGATTTAATGACGAATACATTTTTAAGTCACTTGTTGCCACCTACTGGTGTAGGAATGTAACTGATACAAGCTTTATTTGAAGAATCGGTATTTTCAAAAGGTGATTTACTCTATTTTGATCGCTACCATATACATCAGTGTGTATATCCAAACTATACACTTTTATCCCGGTACTTCTGTGATGAGTTGAATTACTAAGAAAAAAATAATGATACTGTGTTGTTGAAAAAACAGTTGGGAAGCTTTTCCATTCCTATACATGACAACTGCTCTCTCTGGATCAGCAGCAGCGTCCAACACAGATCTGAATGTTCACTGTGATCGTACTTGTCAAAGGTTTAGTCGAATCGTTGTTATTTAGGAATAAGATCGCATGGGTGTTTGAATCGAGATTGCGATTTATCGTACAGCTCTAGTTAAATATAATTTCCCATTAAAGTCGAAATGAAACGGATGTTGCGATAATCTTTTCCTCCCTATTTTTAATTTGACGTTTATCCGAGTGAAACGGCGAACTCGAAAAAGAAAATATGTAGAACGGGACTTGACTTCATCCATTGTGAATTAACTGGATGTTTGGATCATTGTGGTTTGCTATTGCTGTGATCTCAAGAGATGTCACTCCATGACGGAGGCAAGTTATTTTGATTAAAAATGATGCATATGAATTAAAAAAAAAGAATAATGATGTGCACATATAAATCATAATAAATACTGCAATATTCCATAAATAGCTAGCATTGTCTGTTTTGATTTCATGGTGACTCCAAACTTTTCATCATATTTACAAATTTCAGTTTGCTTTAAATCATTACAAAGACTCCACTCAAGATGTTGACCTGTACACTTTTGTGATCTGCAATCTATGGCACTTTCACAAAACATTTGAAGAAGAAATGCTTCCAATTGGGTCATAAAAATTGAATATTTGTGACACAAAACATAAGTATCATGCATGGAACGATCTTGGACAGGACACAGTGACAATAAGGCAAGGGGTATTGGGAATTTACTAGGTTCCTTCATTTAAGAAACAACAGTGAAAACTCACACGTCATGTCTACATTCCAGATCACTCATATGTAGGATCCTAGTCCTGACTCCACTCTTCTCTAGAAGATACATGACTGATGACATGCAACAAAGGACTCTCAGATTGTAGACCAAAATGAGAAGGACAAGTGCCAAACGATCTCTGTAAAATCCCAGAAGTCTTACGGCAAACCAGCAAGAGTAAGACAGCAAACAATGTTTTTTTTTTAAAGGACGTCTGTGTAACCAAAGCAGCATTGCTCATGACTATCAAGAGAACTCGGGTGTAAAACAGCTGAACACACCAGGACAGTGCAGACGCCTACATTCACTGGACTGCGACACCCGTCCGACAGGCTGCGTTTGACAGCCATCAGTGGCACATGAGCAAATCGAGAACAGATGCTGTGTTGTTTGTATGCACAAGGGCAGTGGGCATCTGCAATGACTTAGAATGAATGTGAAGGTTTCATGAAGAAATAATAAACTTACTTTAAAATGAATCATATATTCAATCATTACCACTGAATTAAAATGTACAAATATCCTATTAAAGGGTTAGTTCACCCAAAAATGAAAATTCTGTCAGTATTTACTCACCCTCATGTTGTTCCAACCCCGTAAGACCTTCGTTCATCTTCGGAACACGAATTAAGATATTTTTGATGAAATCTGAGAGCTGGATCACTCCTTCATACTAGTCCATAGGCTTCATCAGGGATTGAACTTGCCGGCCTCGAAAAGTTATTAAAGACATCGTTAAAATAGTCCAAGTGACTACAGTGGCTCAATCTTAAGTTTATCAAGCGACGAGAATACTTTTTGTGCGCAAAAAAACAAAAATAACGACTTTATTTCAACTATTCATTTCCTTCTCTGTGGGCCTCGAGTCAGTTCACTAGTTTAATAGCGTAAGCTTCTGTTGTTGTACGTCACACGCATCACGCACATGACCAGCGTCGGCCAATAGTGAGCCTACGTGTGACGTAGCTCTACGGAATCACACTACGTTAACTGACTAGAGGCCCAAAGAGAAGGAAATGAATAGTTGAAATAAAGTCGTTATTTTTGTTTGTTTTTGCGCACAAAAAGTATTCTCGTCGCTTGATAAACTTAGGATTGAGCCGCTGTAGTCACTTGGACTATTTTAACGATGTCTTTAATCACTTTTCGAGGCCGGTGTTCTGACGATTTGTGCTGCCTTGTCGAAAAATGCTACCGTAACGCAAATCGATCACAGAATGTCGATTAATATTATATGAAATACAATTATAATACAATTCTAAGTTATGAGTAGCTACTGTATACTGTAGACTACTGTTTTTATTTTTAAAACGGTGTGAAAATTAAAAATTATCATCAAATTTTTGACTTGTCAAAGCACACTTTTCCTTAGTAACTGAAACTTTCAGTTATTATTGTTCAGATG